GCAGCTGAAAGACTTTGTTTTTATTTAGTTTTTACATATAAATAGTTGTTCTGCAGAAATCTAATGCATTCCTAGAACTCAGTTTGAGTCAGATGCTAGCTATTTGGAGATCTCCATAGATACCATAAAATAATGACTTACATTAAAGTGTGTCCCTTATGTCAGATGCCAGTCATCAGCCTGAGATCACAATGTGTATTTCTCACAGACTGTAAATAATCAGAGCTTCTAGAATTTCATTTGTTTCAATTAATTGTTTAAACATATCCCCAAACTCAGGGGAAATATTGGGCTTACTCTTTGATTATAAAGGATACTATATGATAAGCAGATCAAAATCCAAGCAAAGAGGTAACTAGTGAAAAGTATGTGTGAAGGGGCTTGGAGTAGCTTTGCTCTCTGGGTGTGCTGCTTTCAGGAACACTCTTATATCCTGTTTTCTTGAAGTTTCTCCCATTCAGGCCTTTTGTGCTTTTATGAAGAGTTTATTATGTAAGTGTGGTCGATTAAATCATTGGCCAATGGTGATGAACTTAACCTTCATCCTTGCTCCCCTCCGTGGAGATTTGAGTCTATAGAAAGTTCAAACCTCTTAACACCCTGTAGGTTTCCTTGGCAATCGATGTCTGTTTTGAAACTTTTTAAGAGGACAGCCAACAATCATATCATGAAAATACAGAAAAAGAAGCATTTCTAACTTTGGTCTTATAAAAGATTAGCCAACTTACTATTCTGGAGCCAGAGAGTATATATTTATTAAATCACAAATATCACAAGCACATATATTGTTATATTTGAGTAGAATTGTCTTTATTGTAAAACATTGTTATTACTAAGCAATTGCCAAGTTATAAAAATTATCAAGACTCAGGTTGGGCCCTGCTAACCCAGCATGTCATATGCAAAGTACTGCTTTTCAAGTACACTCACATTCCATAGTTTCCAGTAACACGTAATATTTTAAATACCTGCTGTTGATATTTCAAATTAACATTTAGTTGCCCCTACCAAGATCTACACTGATTGTCAATTCTATGTAAAGCACTAAGAAATAATTATTGGTATATTTAGTATAAACAGTCTGACAAAATATTAGTTAAGTAAGAAAGAGCTTAATCAATCACAGAAATTATATTAGAAATTTATGTGTCAAAAATACAAGATGCAATAAAGCATTATATTCATCAATGAATATTATGTTTTACGTGAAGATGACATTACTGAGCAGAGAACTAATAGGAAACATAGTTATATGCACAGAATTTATACAAGGAAAGACTAGGTAATGTTCCTTGTAGAGTAAAATAATTAGAATAAGGAAAATGAAATAGAGAATGCTTTTCTCCTTTGTAGAATTCGGAGTTGATATTCTTTCTGTCAAGTACAACTAAAAACCCTATTTGTTATGTATGAGACAAATGTTAACAAATCTTTGAGGTTTGGGAAGAAAAAGGAATTTGGGAAGTGGCCTCAGAAGTGAAAAACAAAATGGTGGTAGGTATCCTGGGTTTCTTTGTATCTCATTAAACCCAGATTTTGACATAAAGAAGCTATTAACCTGGAAGCCTCAATAAAAACCCACTCCCTCTAATCCTATCAGCAGAAAGAGACTAAATGTGCAAATAAACAATTTTAAAATAAATAATTGGCCACCATACTCTTCCCATACTCTTTACATACATACACACACACCACCACCACCACCACCTCCAGTACCACCACACCACCCTCATACAGGGTGCAAGGAAAGGATAGAAAACTTAGCCTCAGTTGATTTCTAAACTTAGGCAATGGTACTGTTGTGTCTCAATATCTCTGCTAGCAGGCTGTCAGGAATGTAAAAGAGAAATATGGGCCCCCTCTCCCTGTTGACTGGTGAGGGGGACACTTCTTGCTTCATTTTCCACAGCATTTGTGATGATTGGAATACCCTGGCTCTGGACAAGCTCCTAGCAGTAATGAGGGAACTATTTACCTCTTAAGCATTGTGTAAGATGTGATCTTGTGTGGTGTCAGGACTTTCATCATTACCCAAAGGTAGCAGGAGTGCTTAATGCTGCCGAGAATGCCTCCAGTGAAAACTACCATTTCCATCAAAGAGCTGTTCTCTCTACGAGAACCATTTTCCCACTTTGTATAGCAACAAAAAGTTATTGGAAAACTTGGACTTTTGTCTGCACTTGACAGAAATTGAGTGAAAATCTCATCTTTCACTGTTGCAGAATGAAAGCTGAAATAAAAGGTTTAAGTGAATTATAGTCTCAAGACAGTTAAAAAAAAAAAGTCCTGGTTTCACTATAAAACCTCTTGTCACACCAGAACACAGCAGACATCAAACAAATGGGAATAATTACCAGTAGAGGCAAATACTGAGAAAACAGAGACAGGAGTTATTCACCAAAAATTTTAAAGCAGCTATGATGAAGAAATGATTTTAATATGAGAATATGAAGATACTTGAAAGGGATGGAAAATTAAAAATTCTCTGTAATGGACATCTCACCAAAGAAATACAAATACAATAGAGCCAAAGAGAAATGCGAGACTTTTACAATAATTGACAAACAACCTCAATCAATGGATCCAACATCAGAAATAGAGGAAGCAGAGGGGTAATTGCTGTGAACTGGTGGTTTACGAAGTAGAAATCGCTAAGCCTTAATGACAGAAATATGCCAAGACACGTCAAATCAATCTTCTGAGCACAGTGTTATGGCATGTACTACTAGTACCATTTTGGAGCCTGAGGTCAAACGATTGCTTCAGCCTCTGAGTTTGAGGCTAACCTGGACAACATAAGACCCTCTCTCTGCATCTGTTTCCATCAGTTACTGGATAAAGGCTCTAGCTTCTCTGGAGCTGTGGCTTGCAGTCTGGTTATCCTTTGATTTACATCTAGTATCAACTTATGAGTAAGTGCATACCACGTTTGTCTTTCTGAGTCTGGGTTACCTCACTCAGGATGGCATTTTCTATTGCCATCCACTTGCCTGAACATTTCATGATGTCATTGTTTTCACAGCTGAGTAATACTCCACGGTATAAATGTACCATGTTTTCTTTATCCATTCTTCGTTTGAGGGGCTTCTAGGTTGTTTCCAGGTTCTGGCTATTTCGAATAATGCTGCTATGAACATAGTTGAACAAGTGTCCTATAGAGACAACTGAACCAAGCTCGTAGGAACTCACAAACTTTAGATCAATGGACTAGGCCCTCTGCATGTGGGAGACAGTTGTGTAGCTTGGTCTATTTGTGGGGGCCCTGGCAGTGGGATCCGGATCTATCCCTGGTGCATGAGTTGGCATGAGCCCATTCCCTATGGTGGGATGTCTTGCTCAGCCTTGATGCAGGGAAGAGAAGGTTGGTCCTGACTCAAATGAATCTACCAGGCTTTGTTGACTCCCCATGGGAGTTCTTACCCTTTTGGAGCAGTGGACAGGGGAGGGGGGTGTGAGTTGGGGAGAGAGGCAGGGGGAATGGGAGGAGGAAAGAGAGGGGAGGGGGAATTATGGTTGGTATGCAAAATGAAAATAAATAAGTAAATAAAAGACTCTCTCAAAAAGTATAACAACAAACAAACAAACCACAAAATAATACGTCCCCAAAAATGAAGACTGGTACAAATGTGCAAGCATCCATATGAAAGTGATGCTTTGCTGCAGGGTTAAGCAAACTAAAGTAATGGTATCTTTCTTATTAGTGGATGAACTGTCCAGGAAGAATCTTAAATCCCATTAAGTATTCCAGTCCCATCTCTGTTGCTTTGATGAAACACTCTGACATAAAATGTCCAACTTAGGGGAAGTTTACTTGGCTTATACTTCCAGGTCATAGACTTTCAAAGAGGGATGTCAGGTCAGGAACTCAAGTAGGAACTGATGCAGTATTCATGGAGGAAAGCTGCATATGCGTTTCCTCTCTAGTTTATTCATAGCTTACTTTCTTAAAAATCCCAGGCCTATTTGGGTATTGGAATTTCCCACAGTTGACTGTTCCATCTCACATTAATCATCAGTTAAGACAACCTCTGATAAAAATGGCTACAAGCCAGTCTGCTCTGCACAATCCCTTAATTGAGACTCGCTTCTCCAATGACTCTATTGTGCATAGCTTACAGCTGCAGCTAAGGAGGACACGAAGAATAAAAGTAAATATACTGAGCATCCCTGTCTGCTTCCTTCACGGCCACATGGCTCTCCCATTACCACAGACGTGAGTATCCCAAAGCAGCCCTATACCTCTAATATTCATCCAACAGCCCTGCCCCTGTCCACCCCTGATTCTTCCAAACTCATTGATCCGTCAGAACCACCTTCCTACTTTCAGTCCATCATCTGCATGGAAAAGCCATGTTTAAGATGCTGCAGTGGGTGGAGAGAGGGTCCCCAAGACACAACTAATGCCCAGCCTCTGGAAAAGTAACTGGATGTAGGAAAGGTATCTTTGCTGATGTGATGAAGGATGTGGGGAATGAACCCGTTCTTGATCATTTGGTGGACTCTAAACCAACCAGCACTTGTCTTGAGTGACAGTGGGGAGAACATAGGAGGAGGCAGCCATGTGAAGTCAGAGTCCAAGGAGGTAATGATGCAGCCATAAGCTGTGAAAAATGACAGGAATTGCTCGAAGCTATCAGAATGCGGGGAGGGAAGAAGACCCTGCTCTGGAGGCGCTCAGAGAACATGGCTTGCAAGCTTGAGAGCTGCGAAACCCTCTCCATTGTTTCCTACCTCCAAGCTGGAGGTGATTTGTTAGAACATTCCTCAGAGATTAGTACAATCGCTTAGCAGGTTCAAAAAGCAGTGTTTTGACGCTGTCTACTCTAAAGCATTGGCAAAGACACCACACACACACACACACACACACACACACACACACACACACACACACACACACATTGAGGTCTTTGTTAATTCATATCTTTGGCTCAACATTTCCCCAGGGACGCTGTGAACATTTTTCCAGGAAGAAATAGGCTGAATTAGATAATTTATTAAGACTCATCCAAAAAAAAAAACCAGGAGTGGGGAGACGGGCGAGCTAAGCTGGCCCAGTGACAGCTGACATGCAGAGTGACAGAGTGAGTATGCTGTACCACCTTCCCTGTCAAGAGGCGGGAGAAAGTCAGCTCCTTTGCTTTCTGGGCTGGGATCAGAACCCACTGAGGAGGCTGGAACAGCAAAGCCTGTGAAGAACCAAGAGACCAAGCTCTCTGCATACTCACAAGGAAGGGGACCAAGAGCTGGATTCAAAAGTCTAGAGGAAGCTGGAAGGAAAGAGAGGTGAGTATTTTGAGGCACACAGGAGCACTTTGGGCCATATGCAGCAAGATCACTGGGCACCAAAAACTTGTGGGAAAGCTTGCTTCAGGGTAAACATGAGGAAAATGATCTCTTCATAGTTATCTGATTCATACAGACACCCAAACTGTGGGGAGCCATCAGGGCCATGCCCCATATTCTGCAAGTCCGAGTAGGCACAGGTGCCTGTGGCCAGCAGAGTGGGCTCTGACCAGGCCTTGGGGTCCAGTGGCTTCTGGTTGAGGTACACACCCAGGTTGGTCCTCTGTAAGGAGTTCGTCGGGTGGGTATACAGCAGCCACACATCTAAGGCATCTGCCCCTGAGGTGGGGTTGGGGAAGGCAGTCACACTTCCTTGGCAGCCTTTGGGAGGCTCCACAAGTTTACTCACTACCTGGTTGTCCTGGAAATCCAGGCCACCGTTAGGACTTTGTGCCTGGACCCTGGCTCCCAGGGTGCTCCTAGCATTGAGATAGACCACCCTCCGAGCTCCAGTGCCAACCTCAGCCACCTGGCACTCCAGTGAGTTCTGGGACACAAAGTGGCCTAGCTCCCACGTGTGCCCGTGGTCGTGGCTGAGGAAGCAGAAGGCAGAGGGGGCAGGCGCGTGGATAGGGTGTAGTTTTCGGTAGGCGTAAGCAGGCACCAGCAGGCTCCCGGTTGTGTTTCGCAGCTGCAGACAGTGCCCAGGACCCACACCAAATGTGGCCCAGTCCTGGTGGGTGCTGCCAATGGCGGTATCTGTGAGGTCCTGGACGGGGCTCCAGGTCTTCCCATGGTCGGTACTGGTGATGTGAAACAGGCGTGTGACATTAACCCTGGTCTGGAGCTGGTGGTGTTCTGATACATGCCCAGGGACGGCGATGAAGAAAAGGAAGAGGGTCCTTGTGTGCTTGTCATACAAGGGACATGGGTTCATGGAGCGGTGGCCCTCCAGCCGGGCTTGGGTCACCACCTCCTCAGCTTGCCACTGAATGTGAGGAGAGGGAAGAAAGAGAAATACAAACTTGAGATTGCCGTGACAATGACAGGGGTTACTCTGGGGGTCCATGGGGCAGCTGTACCTTAGAGCCAAAGGCCGTGAAAGGACTACTTCACCTACCGATTGCCACCAGAGCAGCGGGAGCCAGGCCCCTCTCCCTCTCTCAAAACCTCTCCTTCCCTGAAGACTCTGTTACTTGGATCCCCACCAACAGATATTTGCAGAACACCTGTGATGTGCCAGACCCCCAAGACACAAAGGTAACTCAGGGGCCGGCAGATGGTTCGGCAAGTTAAGGTACATGCCACCAAGCCTGATGACTTGAGTTCAGTCCCCAGCGCCAACACGATGGAACAAGAGAACTGACTCACTCAAGTGCACGCATAGACAAACAAGCAAGTAAATGTGATTTAAAAAATTGTAAGGCCAGACGGCGGTGGCGCACGCCTTTAATCCCAGCACTTGGGAGGCAGAGGCAGGCGGATCTCTGAGTTTGAGGTCAGCCTGGTCTACAGAGTGAGATCCAGGACAGGCTCCAAAGCTATACAGAGAAACCCTGTCTCGAAAAACCAAAACAAACAAACAAACAAACAAACAAATAAATAAATAAATAAATTGTAAGTAAAAGAAAAAGTAAATATACTTACTAATTACCAGCAGACATAGCCTAAGAGGCATATACAGTAAGTACTTTGAAGAGCCAAGTAATATAGAACACACATCAAGCAGTCTGAGATGAAAGAAAAACACGCTAAAAACAACATGCATAGATGTAAGGGATTTCTTGTTCTTGAAATTTCTTTCTTGTTGTGAGTCCATGTTTTTCTTGAGGCGGGGTCTCTTGTAGTCAGGGATAGCTTAGAACTTGCAATGTAGTTCTTGCTGCGTATTTCAATCAGGGACCTGTCCAGCACTATATCTGCCTTTATGTTGCCATGCTCCCTGTCATGATGAAAATGAACAAGCCTCCGAACTGTAGGCCATCCACAATGAAGTATTTGCCTTATAAAAGTCGCCGTGGTCACTGTGTCTCTTCACAGCAATAGAAGCCCTAAGACAGAATATTTCCAACTCCAAGGAAGTTAAATCGCTCTTAGGACAAGGAGATTATAAAGAAAATAACAGCATTCATTTGAACATACAGAAGAATGCCAGGAAAATCTGTGAGACATATTTAAAGAGTTTCAAGAAGAAAATTCACATTACTAATGTAATACTACATTTATTACAAAATGCAAAAGAAGAAATTCAGTAATTTTTAAATTTTTACCTCATAAAAATCAAAAAAAAGAAAATTTCATTCAGTCCTAACGAAGTAAATGATATAATAGAAACAAATAAAATTAGAATTAAATCTTAATGGATAATATCAATTAAATAAAGACTTAGTACCAAACAAATAAAGGCTTAATAAAACTAAAATGCATAAATCTGGCATACATTTAGAAAGACTAAAAACAACTATCAAGAACAAAAATTGCAAATATCAGAAGTTAAATTCCATATCATTAGTAGCATAATCATTATGAATATAAGGCAGAGGCTCAGATAAATATTAAGTACATACATTTTTTGAAAGCACTATGATAACAACTTACCTGATAAGAAATATTTAGTTTAAGTAACCTCTTATACTAAGGAAAATTACTTCATATCTTTAAAACTTCCTCCAAAGAATTACCTTGATGCTTTACTAGGTTAAAATATTCAGTTTTTTGGTTGTAATAATTTCATTTGAATATAATGTTAATTATATTAATTAATTAATTATAATTAATTAATAGAAGATCATATATTAACTGAGGAGCACATTCAAAATTCATATAGAACAGAGAAATGCATCCAAAGTTATGTCCATGTCCAATAGATGCATGTGTTAAAATATACAAGTACTTTGAAGCAAAATTTTTATGAAAATTTAATGGAAAAATTGAATACTTGTTGGAAATATAAGAGATGAAGAGGGTATAAATTTCAAGAAATTGAAAATGTATTATAAAATTAAATGCAAGTCATTGAATCACAAAACTCGTAGAAAAATCAGTGGAAATCCTCAAGATACATAATTAAGAAAATTTTTCTTAAAGTGACAGCAAAAGCATGAACCACAAAAGGAAATAAATGATGTAATTCATGTCATCACAATGGGAGCCTTTTGCTTTGTAAAAGTAAAGAACTTGAAAATACAAGCTAAGTAGTGAAAACCAAAGGATAACCAAATACATGGCAGGGAGCATTCCTAATATGGAAAGAACTCTTAAAATTCACCAAGAGAGCTTGGGGGAGCGGGAGATCCTAGCTGGATCAACAACAGAGAGGGAGAACAAGGAATAGGAGACCATGGTAAATGAAGACCTCATGAGAATAGGAAGAAGCAAAGTGCTAGAGAGGCCCACAGAAATCCACAAAAATACCCCCACAACAGACTGCTGGCAATAGTTGAGATACAGCCTGAACTGACCTACTCTGGTGATGGGATGGCTAAACACCCTAATTGTCATGCTAGAAACCCCATCCAACTACTGAGGGATCTGGATGCAGAGATCCATGGCTAGGCCCCGGGTGGAGCTCCGGGAGTCCAATTAGCGAGAATGAGGAGGGTTTATATGAGCGAGAATTGTTGAGACCAAGGTTGGATAAAGCACAGGGACAAAGAGCCAAACAAATGGAAACACATGAACTATGAACCAATGGCTGAGGGGTCCCCAACTGGATCAGGCCCTCAGAATGGGTGAGACAGTTGATTGGCTTGATCTGTTTGGGAGGCATCCAGGCAGTGGGACTGGGTCCTGTGCTCATTGCATGAGTTGGCTGTTTGAAACCTGGGGTCTATGCAGGATTGCTTGTCTCGGCCTGGGAGGAGGGGACTGGACCTACCTGGACTAAGTCTACCAGGTTGATCTCAGTCTGCGGGGGAGGCTTTGCCTTGGACGAGGTGGGAATGGGGGTGGGCTGGGGGGAAGGTGAGGGGGGCCGGAGGGGGGAGAACAAGGGAATCCGTGGCTGATATATGGAACTGAATTGTATTGCAAAATAAAAATAAAAATTTTAAAAAAACACGAAAAAAAATAAAAAAATAAATGTAAAGTCATTAAAAAAAAATTCACCAAGAAACAATCTCATCCATACATGCACACCTCTCATTAGTAATTCAATATCAATGGTACTCATTCACCAATGAAAAGATACAAGTTAAAAGATTACGTAAGAAAACAGCTAGAGAGGCCCACAGAAATCCACAAAGATACCTCTACAATAGACTACTGGCAGTGGTCGAGAGACAGCTCGAACTGATCTACTCTGGTGATAGGATGGCCAAACACCCTAATTGTCTTGCTAGAAACCCCATCCAATGACTGAGGGAACCAGATGCAGAGATCCACGGCCAGGCCCCAGGTGGAGCTCCAGGAGTCCAGTTGGTGAGAAAGAGGAGGGTTTGTATGAGCAAGAATTGTTGAGACCGAGATTGGAAAAAGCACAGGGACAAATAGCCAAACGAATGGAAACACATGAACTATGAACCAATAGCTGAGGAGCCCCCAACTGGATCAGGCCCTCTGGATAAGTGAGACAGTTGATTAGCTTGATCTGTTTGGGAGGCATCCAGGCAGTGGGACCAGGACCTGTCCTCAGTGCATGAGCTGGCTGTTTGGAACCTGGGGCTTATGCAGGGACACTTGGCTCAGCCTGGGAGGAGAGGACTGGACATGCTTGGACTGAATCTACCAGGTTGAACTCAATTCCCAGGGGAGACTTTGCCCTAGAGAATATGGGAATGGGGGGTGGGCTGGGGGGAATGCATGGGGGGAGGGGAGGGGAGAAAACAAGGGAATCCGTGGCTGACATGTAAAATTAAATTAAATTATAAAATAAAATAAAATTTTAAAAAAAGAAAAGAAAACGGGATCCAACTTTCTGCTCTATCCAAGACAGAGAGCTTGTCATCAATGATAGACACCATCTCAGGGTGAAGAAATGGAAAAAGTTATTCCAAGCAAATAGATAGACCCAATCAGAAGTGATAGATAATGATACTACATACTCACCAAAGGAAAAAGCCATCTAGATTATATTACAATTCTAACCCTTTATATACCAAACAGAGGGCCAGACAAGTTCATGAGAAACACTACTACAGCTAAGATCACAAACTGAGCCTCACATGGTGATATTTTGTAGTTTTACTACACAACTTTGACCAATAGACAAGTCATCTGAAAAAATCTAAATAGATAAGTGCTATAGTTAAAAATATCATAAATCAAATGGATCTACCAGATATTTACTAAACATTTCACCAAACACAAAAGAATATTCCTTCTTTTCAGTACCTCATGTAACTTTCTCTAAAATTTATCACATACTTGGATACAAAACAAGTCTTAAAGATATAAGAAAGTTGAAATAATGTGATGCATTTTATGTGACCAAAATAAAGTTGGGTATCAACAACAGAAACTTTACAAAAAGATAGATACTGAACAACATATCACTGAATGAAAAATGGGCCCATACTGAAATAAAGAAGGAAATTAAAATATATTAGTATTGAATGAATATGAAAATATAACATTCCGAAACCTATGGGTTACAATGAAGGCAGTTCAACAAGGTGAATTATTGGCACTAAATTGACACATAAAAAACATTGGAGAGATTTCATATTAGCAACTTAATTGCACACCTGAAATCTCTAGAAAAACAACAAAGATCAAACACTCATAAGAATAGGTGGAAAGACATAATCAAACTCAGGACTGAAATAAACAAAATAGAAACAAACAAGCAAAAACAGTACAACAAATCAATAAAAGAAAGAGTTAGTTCTTAAGGAAAATCAATAAGATTGATAAAAACCTTAGCTAAATTAACTAAAAGACAGAGAAGTTTCAAGTTAATAAAATTAAAGTTGAAAAGGGGAACATCATAACAGAGAATGAAGAAATTCAGAGAATTATAAAGGTATAATTTAAAAATCTGTGTCTCCACCAAACGAGAACACCCAAAATAAATGGATGAATTAATTAATATGTATAACCTTCTAAAATTAAGTCAAGATCAAATAAGCAATTCAAACACACCTAAAACCCTAGTGAAATAGAAGCTGCAATGAAATTCTCTCCTCACCCCCTAAAAAAGAGA